CTGCTGACCATTAGCTCTGCGCATGCAACGCGTCACTGCCTGCAGACTGATTTGGGCTCGTGGTTTGTTTCAAGCCATTGGTTCTGGCTGATTCCACAACACACAGACGAGAAGCATCAGGAAAATCTATAACCAATTTCTAAACCTGCAATTTGCCAAGCTAATCAATACTAATTATTACTGGCCAGTAATTGTGAATTAAACCACCCAGCAATATTATAGAAACCTCCACACAGCTCTCCCACCCTCCCACAGCGCTGTGCTTACCGGAGTTAGCTTGCTCTTCAGCTATAAAAAAAGGCTACCCTTATTTTTCATTAGAAGTGGTATCAGTGGTCTTTTATTAGGCCTGATTGGAAAACCCCAAGACTTCCTATGAAGAAACAGCACTACGTTTTCCCTGAAAGTTAAACAATGCAAACCAAATGGAAACACTTGTGCAGGACAGAAAAATCACAAAGAAAGTACCGAAATTTCTTCCCCTACAACTCCATCATATGAGGGCTGAAAGGCAGAGTAAAATCCCAGCTATATAGTTTACACTGGCAAACTCTGACCATGTAATTGGTAACAGGGCAGCCCCTTTCTCCCCGCAAGCTGACTCCGGCTTGCCCCTGCTCCCGCAGGCAAGCAGGCAGGGGAGGCAGCTGAGCCTAACGCCAGCAGACTGGACTGAAAAAATGTGGCTCTGAAAAGTGTACAGGTCTCCACCCTGAAACATCCTGGCCTTCATTCAGCACCCGCTCGCAAATCAAGCCATTAATGCAGACGTCCCTCCCTCCCCCAGCATAGCTGCCCCCTTCTACAGTACCTCACTTGGGCACAGCAAAACCTGACAGCTTTTCCAGGGTTTTTCCCATTTTCCATAAAACCAGGCACCCGTTTTTAGAGTACCCAAGTCACAGAAACTCAAAAAATGAGTCCAATGCGTTAGGCAGGGAATCTGGGAGGTTAATCCTAGATTTGCTCTGTGCCCAGCACCGCTACATGCACAAGTATAAAATATCCATTATTCATTAGCATCACAGTTGTGTGGAGCTCAATCTAGATTAAACAAAATAAAGGGGCCCCAGACAGCACCATTTGCATTGTTAAGCAGGCGCTTTTCTTCAGCCTTCAAATAGCAGACTTTTCTAAATGGAAATGATGGGGAAATTTGGACAGATGTTCACTTAACTATTTAAACAGTTAGCTTAAGAAACATGAAAAATGTATTTGGCATCGTATTCACCTGTCTCCTTTCAGGGGTTTTGAGGGGTAAACCAATTGTTAAACAGCTTTGACCGTTTGCATAAGATCTGAAGCTTATGTTCTGTCCAGCTGAAATCATGTTGCCTTCTAATGTCTACATAAACGTAGCTTCCAGCTAGTCAGTGTGCTAATCTTTTTCTCTTCTATCAAGTTTCACAGTCCTCCATAGCCTCCCTTTCCCAACAGATGAACATTTCACACTTATTCTAGCACTTCCTAATTTTAATCTGCTTTTCAGGGAGTGATTTAGAGCCCTGTATATTCACCGTGCTTCTAAAAAATGTGCTGTAACTTGTAGCTCAGTGAACACAATTTTTTTTTAATCTGCTGGAAGAAAAGGCAAAAAGAACACAGACTTTTGCCTTTATTGTTTGCTTATAAAAAACCTGCCACCTCTGATACCTACTTACCCAGAAGCTACTTTAGCTGAAACTTTCTGAGATGGGGAGCTTAACATTATTGGAGGAGGGAGAGAAGAGAAGGAGCAGGAAGAAAATCTTCCACCCCAAGCCCCATCTGTGGTTAAATTTAAAATAACCCCACATGAACAAACTGATCTGCATTCTGTCCCCCAGATATCTTCCTAACAGATGCAATACTCTCTTACACATTCACACACACAAAGTTGAAGCACATTAGAAAACTCTATCAGAAGATGCTCAACATCTACTTACCCGCTTGGAGCCATTGGCATAAAAGAAGCTGGAAATACAGAAAAGTTGCAGTTTGGAGTTGTTTTGCTGCTTCTAAAAAAACTCTTTTTTTTTTTTTTTAATCTCCCTTTGAAGTTAAAAGGCAACAATTTTTAAGTACAGATTTATTCCCTCTTATGTAACAGGAAGACCCAGCCAGCTTGTAAATAAGCATAGACTATGCAGATTTAAAATTTAGCACAATTAAACTTTTACCCTGTGGTAGTAATTATGTTTAATGGCTCTTAGCCTGAACTTAACCATGTCTATTGTTGTCAGCCAGTCTAAAAGCAGGAGTTTGTCCAAGGACAATTTTCTGTAGTTTATAGACACACTAAAAACCCTGCTACGCACTGTTCTCATTGGCCATTGATGTCAGTGTGTATAGTAAAAATTAAAGCTAATTGGCATACAGGAGCAGCAGTGAATGCAAATGAATTAATGGGAAAAGATGGGAGCGCTCCCGGAAGCAGTAGGCAACTGTCGAAGGATGCTTTTTAGGCAGTCTTGCCTGGGCTAAAGCGTAGTCTTCTGCGCAATGATCCAGATCTCACCAGCTCCGTGAATATACCTGAAGTTAATTCCAACTACAGTAAAGTTACAGCACCCTGCAGGTTTTAGGGGAAAAAAGGATGGTAAAGGA